AATGGAAAAATATCTTTGGATGAGGATTAACAACAACAACAAAATGGAATTACTTTATGACTCAGTGATTCCACTTCTGAGAATATATTTGAAAACACTCAAAACAATAATTTGAAAGAATATAAGCACCCTTAAGTTCATTGCAGTGTTATTTTTTAAAATATATTTTTATTGATTTCAGAGAGGGAGAAAGATGGAAACATCAATAATGAAAGAGAATCACTGATTGGCTGCCTCCTGCATACCCTACACTGGGGATTGAACCCACAACCCATGTGACTTTAACAAGAATCAAACCCGAGACCCTTCAGTCCGCAGGCTGACTCTCTATCCACTGAGCAAACTGACCAGGGCTGCAGTAGTATTAACAATAGCCAAGATTTGCAAGCAGCTCAAGTGGATAAAAAAGGCAGCGGTACATTTACACAATGAAGTTATTCAGCCATAGAAAAAGAGAAAGAAATCGGGGGGTTAGTGGGGGTAGCACTAGGGAGATAAGGACACATGTAATAACTTAATCAATAAAGAGGGGGAAAGAAAGAAAGAAGGAAGGAAATTTTACCCTTTGCAACAGCATGGATGGAAATAAGCCAGTCAGAGAAAGACAAGTGCCATATGATTTCACTTATTTGTGGAATCTAATGAACAAAACAAACAAACAAACAAAATAGATACAGAGAACGGACTGACACTGTCAGAGAGAAAGGGTTTGGAGGCTGGTGAAAAAGATGAAGGGATTAAGAAGGAAAAAAACCTCACAGACACAGACAACAGCATGGTGATTACCAGAGGGAAAGGGGGTGGGGGAGGTAGAAAAGGGTGAAGGGGGTAAATGGTGATGAAAGGAGATTGGACTTGGGTGGTGAACACAATGCAATATACAGATGATGTGTTATAGAACTGTACATCTGAAACCTACATAATTTTATTAACCAATGTCACCCCAATACATTCAATTTTGTATGTATTCAAAAAAGGGGGGGTCTGGAAGCCACAGAAGATGTCTCCTGTCCACATCTGCAGCCTCGGCCCAGCCTGGTGGGGACCAGGCCTGGTCCAGTTTCCCTGGGCGATGGCAGCTCCTCTGCCCTCTCAGAACCCCGAGGGCGAGCTTCCTGCTGTTTCACTGAAGGGTATGGCTCTCCCCGCACACCACAGGTAGAGTGACTGCAGAGGCCAAGAGCACAGACCTGGCTCTGCCTTGGTGTCCATAGCTGGGCTGCACTGTGACCTCAGGCAGAGGTCATGTCTCTCACCTTCACAGCCCCACCCCGCCCCACCTAGCAGGTGGCAAGTCCTCCACACTCCATGAGTCTAAGAGATAACGTCTTACCTCTTAGACTCATGGAGTGTTGAGGCAAGAAGATCCTCCTCCTCTGCTTCCCTCACTACTTCTTGCCTTGAGAGTAAGACCAGCCTCCCAGTGGCTTCCCTGACCCCCAGTCTCAGTCCTTCCTCTCCTCTTCTCCAACATGCAGACTCCCTTCTCTCCTGGCTCAACCCTCCTCAGCCTATATATATATATATATATATATATATATATATATATATATATATTGATTTTCTACAGAGAGGAAGAGAGAGGGATAGAGAGCTAGAAACATCAATGAGAAAGAAACATTGACCAGCTGCCTCCTGCACACTCCCCACCGGGGATGTGCCCGCAACCAAGGTACATTCCTTTGACCGGAATCGAACCCGGGACCCCCCAGTCCACAGACCAAACCAGTTTCAGCAGCCTCCACACTTCTGCCTAAACATCAAAGAGGCTCTTCTACCCAAGCTGACTCAGACCTCCACTGTCACTCTTTGTCCCAGCACCCTGCTGTCCGCTGGAGAACGGACCCCCCCTTGGAACTATATAGTCTGTGCGTGGTGACTTGTTTGATGCTGGCAGGTTGCAGATACTCTGAGGGCCAGGACTGCTCTGCACTCCAGGGCAGCACCTTAACAATGTTGCTGGCCTGGATCGAGTGGCTCAGTAGTTGAGCATGGACCCAGGAGCCAAGAGGTTGCCAGTTCGATTCCTTGTCAGGGCACAAGCCCGGGTTGAGGGTTCAATTCCCAATAGGGGTTTCTGCAGAAAGAAGCCAATCGATGATGTTCCTCTCATCAATGTTTCTATCTCTCTATCCCTCTCCCTTCCACTCTCTCTAGCAACCAATAAAAACATTTTTCGTTACTTTTTTTTTCCTTTTCCAATAAAAACGTTTTTAAAATAATGTTTCCTTATTTTACAGGTCAGATGAAAGAAGAGATGAAACATCCACAGGAAGCACCGGCCCCTGAGCTGCCCCCGCCGAAGCGGGCCATCGAGAGACAGAGAAAACGGAGAGAGGTCAGACGTGGGTGGTTTCAGTGGCCGCCCAGAGGCCAAAAGGACACGGCACTGGGAAAGCCCCATGAGTTCTGGGCTGGGAATCCTGCCCACACCAGGGGGCCTGGACTGGGGAGGCAGAGCCTAAATGCCTAGCCCCGGGCCCTGTCATTAATCCCGCCTGTCCAGCAACAGAGAAAGGGACTCTTTCTTCCCTTCTCCCACCTCACCACGCTGGAACCAGCGCTGTGTCTGCGGCCAGATTCTGGCTCGGGTCCCAAGCAAGAGCTCTGAGAACCTTTCAACAGGTTCAGGCAAAGTTCCTTTGGAGGACAAACCAAAGCATCAGTCCTCACAGCAACAAAAAGCTGGCAGATTTGCATCTCAATCAGCTGCAGGCTGGTCCCCCCTTTCGAAAGTCCAATTCAATAAGTGGCTTAGCGGCTCCTCTGCAATGCAGCCATCCTCCAAGTTTGTAAATGTTAGGCCTCAGCAGAAACCTTGTCTCTAAAGCCTGCAGGCACTCCCAGGCAGGCGTGGCACCGGGATTCCTGCCTGGAAGGCACCGGCTGCTCGGACTCTTCCCCCCCCCCCAAGCCAGGAACAGAGAGGCCAGAGAGATAAACTGTGTGCAATCAGCAGGCCTGCCCGCTGAGGATGCTGAGTCAGTGCGTTTGCCAGAGAGTCAGAGAAACCAGATTCAGAAGCGGGAGCACAGGCATGGGATAAGAAGTTGATGTTCAACCCACATCCTGACCCTTCACCTTCACCTTCACTTGGGGTTTGGGGGGGGGGGAAATAGTCAAGCCTTAAACACTAACTCAGCACTCCGCTGGCACAAGCTCTAGGACTCCTCCCACTTGAAGGAAGTAGCCAAGGCTGAGGCAGGAGTGAAGTGACCAGCCCCAGTGCTGCCAACACCATAAAATAAATTAAATCAGCGGACAACCTCGGAAGAACCCTAGAAGCTGACCTTCTAATACCAAGTGGGTGAAAATTAAATAAATAAATAAAATAATTTTAATATATCAGTCCTCCAGTGTGAACAAGATGATAAAAGCTTCCTCTGTGGAGGATGACGTTTTCTCCTATGTTTTAAACTTTCTGTGCAGCCGGAGAGCACCCAGGGAGGCAAGCAGAGAGGGTCACGATCTAAAAGGGAGGAGAGAGGGAGGGAGAGGAGGAGCCAAACACTCCAACCTGTTCCTTCCAGAGTCATTAATCTCACACTTCTTGGACAGAAGAGAAAGCTTGTGTAAGGAGCAAGGTCTGCGTGACTTTCCCATCTCCCAGGGTTTCTTGCTGACATGGGGAAAGTTCTGCCAAGAACCCTTAGGCTATCAGGAAACATTTCCGAGTGGCTAAAGGCTAAAGGTTCTCAATGATCCACGCTCTGCCCTGCCACTAGCCTGTACGTATCTCCTCCCCCCGCGGGCACACACACTCCCTATCTCCTGCCCTACACCGCTCCAGCTCCGCTCCCTAGAAACTGGACACTCAGGAAAATCCTGGGAAGATCAGAGAAGAAAGGCGGGGAGGACTCTACATGGAGTTATAGGAACTGGTGCAAACTTTTCCTTCCCGCAAAGTAAGAGCTCTAGGAAGACAGAGCATGCCGGTGTGGTCAGGGGGTCCAGCTCGGGCTGCCTGGGTCTAACGGGACTCGGGGAGGGGCCGGCTGACAAAGGCTCCGGGGAGAGGCCTTACTTCCATTAGGCTGAACTGCTGGACACAGCAAGAGGGCAGAGGAAAATGGCTCCGATCGAGGTTGTCCGGGAAGTGGTAGGAGGGTAGATAGACATTGGGAGTCACAGGAGTTCCACTGTTGGGCTGGACCTACTGACATCAGCAGTGAGGACCTTCCGACAGGGCTGGGGAGTATGAAGGTAGGAACGGGGGGTTTGATTTCTTGTACACCTGCAACCTCAGCCTGCATCGGGCAACACCAAGGATGTGGCAAAGGGAAAGGACAGACCTGGAGGTATTTTTATAAACACCCCGCGCTAACCCCCGCCCCCCTCCCCCATGGACGCAGAAGACCGCTGTGATGTGGTGTTCTCCCAGCTTCTGAAAGGACATGCCCGCTGGAAAATCATAAAGCAGCAAAAACAGACAAGAAACGGTGTCTGACAAGCCCTTACAAGACTCCATAACAATCTGACTAAAAAACAAACAAAAAAACACCCTAAATTCTAGATCAATCTTCCACCGGATGGAGGCCAAGCCACTTCCTCTCTCTCTTGTTACACACCCCGGCCACTGAGTCCGGAGTTCCCTTTTCTACAGCCAGGGAGACACATGCTTCATGCAAGGCCAGGGCCGTGCCAGGCCCCGGGAGGAGAGGTGCCTGCAACGTCCCCAGGTGTGGGAAGAACACCCTGGACTCAGGGGTTCTGATTCCATTCCGGCCCCTCGCCGTGTGTGTGGCCTCCGGCAGGTCAGACCATCTGTCGGAGCCTCAGTGTTTTCATCCATAAAACGGGGACAATGCTATGCACCCAGGGGAGCTGGCTGAGGATCCAATAAATGGGCCTTTTGCTGGAGGCGCTGCGCAGCCAGGTGGTGCTGCTGGCCAGGTCTGCCCCGCCATCGCGCCCGCTCCAACAGCTCCCACTCCTGGAGCCTCCCCGACCACCCGACCGACCGACCGACCGACCGCCCGAGCCCGGGGCGCCCGTCTCACCTGGCTCGGTACACAGGTAGGAGTAGAAGCCCTCGGACTTGAGCATGATGAGCAGCGAGCCCCAGCCCAGGAGGACTGCCGAGAAGAGGAGGTTTTCCACCACCGCCGTGCAGGCCATCCACCAGCGGCGCCGGTGGGCAGTGGCCAGGGTGGGCGCCATGACGCGGCGGCGAGGGGGCCCGGCTCCGGCTCCGGCTCTGCAGCCACCTGCGCACACACCTCGGCGTCAGCGCCCGGTCCCGGCCGGCCGGTCGGGGAGGCCGAGCTCGGCCGCTGCGGCAGCGCGGAGCTGGCCACCCCTCCGCGGCCCCGGCCGCAGGTGCGCGCAGCCAAGGGGAGCCCCGTCTGGCCCGGACCTGGGCCCCCCACCGCGGGCCCTCGGAGGCGGGAGAGCCGCTCCGGCCGGGCAGAGAGACTTCTCCCTCAGCTCCCTCCGAGGTAAACTGAGGTATGCCGGCAGGAAGGGACTAACGCAAGCCCGGGGACATGCAGTGAGTCCTGGCTCCCGGCATGACTGGCATCGCTCGGGTGTCTGCGGGGGCGGCAGCCTGCGATCCAGACACCTGGGCCGGGGCGCACCTGAGGGCGGCCACTCCCTCGGACCCTGACAGCCGCCCGCCCCTCGCGCGCACCCGCCCGCAGCGAAGACCCTTCCCCAGGGCCGGTTCTGGCAACCACAAGATCAGCGCATCTAGCTCCTGCGGGCCCGCCCCCCGGCTCGCTGATTGGCCGGCGGCACAGGAACCGCCGCGCCATTGGCCGGGGTCTAGGTCGCTAGGCGCTACGGCCACGCGAGCCCCGCATGGGAGAAGCGAAGCCGGTTCAAACCGGCGGCGCGGGCCACCTGCGCGACCCCCCACCCTGAGCTGTGGGTGTCCCCTGCAGCCGGCCCGTTCCGACGGGAGCGGATCTCCGTCCCTCCGTTTCCTTGCCCCTCCTAAATTCGTCATGTCTTCTGTCAGCTCCTCAGCCATCCAATCTCTTCCCTCTCATATTTTCACACATCTTCTCCCTAACCACCCCGCCCTACCAGCAAGCCTTCTGCCCCCGGCCCCCTCGCCCGAGGCCCGACTCCCAGGGTCCAGCTCACCCGGCTCCTGCGATCGTGTGTCGGGCCCGCCGGCGCCTTTTCTGTCCCCTTTTATTGCAGCCCTTTTATTAGGACCCCGGGACGAAAACACTGCCGCGCGCTGATTGGCTGAGCGGGCTGGAAACAGGCGGCGGCCAATCAGTAGGCGCCGCCCTCCCGGCCGCAAGCAGAAGCCGGTTCCGGCCGGACTCGGAGACAAACAGGAGGACCGGGGGCGCTCTGGGGAGCCGTGGGCCGAGCCTCTGCTCTGCCACCTTAAACGGGAGTCCCAGCTGGGCTGGGCACCCCTGCAGACATTGCCCTGGCGCCCCTCCGGAGCCCCGCCCCGAAACCTTGCCCTGGGTGGAGTCTCGGGCTCGGCCTACCCAGGCCCCTGGATCTCCCCAGCATCACTCCCGGCCCCCTCGCTTCACACGCAGCTCCGCTTCTGCACTCCGCTCTCCGGCCCGCTTTAGGGCCCCCCAACTTCCCGAACTCTGCCCTGGGCTCCAGGCCTCGATGCTTCGGCTCCCGGTGGGTCACTCCACGGCCGCCGCCCGCACGGCCGCCTCCCAGCGCAACCCATTCTGGTTCCTCCTGCCCCCAGTGTCCCCCCCTCCATTCAGCCGATGTTTACCCATTCCGGATCTTCGGGCCCCATGATCCGGTGTGCCTCTTCCTCTTCTCCTGATTCACCGACCCCGCTCCTGGGTGCCATCTGCCCGGTCCCTCGGGGACCCCCAGGTGGGCGTTTGGGGCTTGTCTGTCCCCTGGCACGGTGTCTCCCCTGTTGCCCCATCCAGACTCTGACCCACTCCCTTTGGCCCCCCAGGAACCGCGCCCAAGGTGACTGTCTGCTCCACCTCCACCCCTTTCCCGTGTGCCTTCCTCAGGGGCCCTCTTCAGGGCAGCGCCGAGCTGCGGGGACAAATCAGCCTCCGGGAGAAGGTGCGGAGCCGGGAGGGCTCCAGCTCCCGGTCTGGTAGGCGAGCTGGACCTGCCCAGAGCTGCCATGGCAGGGCGATGGAGCCCAGGCGCCGGAATTCCTGCTGCCCATCTTGATCTCTCCGACCAGAGACACTAGCCTGACCTTAGAGGACCCCTGGCCTTCCCGATGATTCGGCTCGGTCTCCCCGGCAGGCAGGCTGAGGGAGCTGGCTCATCCCAGGGCTGCGGGAGCCCCAGGAGCCTTCTGTTCCACGTCGCCCGGTCCGAGAGCGCCCCCTGCCGCTGGGAAGCCGCCGCTGGCACCCTCCTTCAGACCATCCTGCCGCTGTAGGCTTGGGGGATCCTTGCTGGTTGCCTGTCCTGTTATCCAGGCTGCAGCACTTTTCATCCACTTATGAGATTGCGACTACCCCTTGACAAAGGTCAGTCCTTCCCTCCTAGAGCCTCCTGCTTGAGGGCCGTCCCCAGGCAGCTGTTCCATACACATTTCTAAACTGTTTCAAACCTCTCTAAAATAATTTACTTTCTCCAAAACGGTTCCTCCTATTTTTTTTCTCAGCTCATGGCCCCGCTAGCCACCGAACTTAGAGACCATGGTCCACCCTTTCAACACCTGCTGTTATTTTCCCTCTCCACCCCACCCCTGCCCAATGCAGTCATATTTCCTAATTTGCTTATCTGAGCTCCTAGGACTCCCAACTGCTTCACCCAGCGTCCAATCACAGCCCCTGACACCCATCTCCCCACCCCACCCCATCCCAGTGAGCTATATGAAATGTAAATCTGACCTTGGGCCCCACCGACACGGCTCAGTGATTGAGCATCGACCTTTGAACTAGGAGGTCATGGTTCAATTCCTAGTCAGTGATTGTGCCCAGGTTGCAGGCTCGATCCTCAGTGTGGGGTGTGCAGGAAGGCAGCAAATTAATGATTCTCATCACTGACTAGTGGCCTGGTACACGGATTTGTGCACATTGAAAGGAAAATAATTAGAAGAAATATTTTAATATTGCCATGTGCCCTTTCTCCCTCAGTGCCTGGCCCTGCTCCCCACCCCCACCACTGGTGGCCATCTGTGGGGTAATCAGGGCCACTCGCACCCACCTTGGCCTGGCACCGCCTGCTCCCCTGCTCCACCATCCCGCCACTCATCAGGGCCCATCGGGGCTGGCAGTGCCTCCACTATGGTCAGCGCCATGTCACCAATGCCCACCATGTTCTGCACCACCGCTAGTGGTCTGTGCATGTCATGGTGGGCAGTCAAACTCCCAGTTGAATGACTGCCTGAGGGGACAATTCACACATTAGGCTTTTATTATTTATATAAGATGTTTCTCCCTCTCCTTTCCTCTCTGAATCAGTAAAATAGATATATATATATATTTTTAAAAATCTGACCTTGGTAAATCTGATCTCTGCTAAAATCAGTCAGAAACTCTACCATTTGTCTTGCAGGATAAAGTTCAAGTTCTCCAACCTGACCCACACAGGCTCCTTCCTCCCACCAGTCTCTCTCTCCCCAGGGAGGCAGGTTGACCTGCCTGGTCTGAGATACTCCAATCACATGCTGGACCTCAAAGTCCCTTTTTGGACAGCTCCTACAGAAAGCCTTCCCTGACTGCTCCCCCAATACTGTCCATTATCTTTGCTCACTAATTTTGTCGTATATCTTTAATATCTTTGAAATATATAAATCCCTGAGAAAAAGATGAATACCTCAAATGAAATTGGGGAAAGAAAATAACCAGATAATCTATAGGAAAAATACAAATGAAAAGGAGCTCAATCTTAGAATAATCATAGAAAATCAGATTTTAATTATACAATTTTCATGATTAAAAAGCAAAAATAAAAATACTTTATCTGATGAAAGCTTTAACCTTTCCTAAAACTATAGTTCTCAATAAAAGTGATTCTATGAAAGAAAAAAAAATAAAGCTTTGACCCGCTATTACTTTCTTTTTGTTGCCCTAAAATAATGAAATACCAGCTTGAACTTATCATATTGGGTGTAAGAAAATAGATACCACCATTATTTGTGAGAGTATAAAGCCATACAACATTTTTGGAGGGCAATGTGGTGTAAATGCATAAACGTTTAATGTTCTGATTCCATAACATAGCGATTTTGCTTTTTTCCCGGACTTGGGGCCTTTTTCCAGCACTCACAGAAAAACTTGCACAAATATATATATTTTTAAATGGACAAAGTTGGACACTGCATCATTAATAGTCTCAAACAATTAAAAAAACAACCAAATCCCTAAATGTAGGGGATGGTTTACATAATCCGTGTCATTTCCACACGATGGGATCCCGTGTAGCCATTTTTTAATAAAAAGAGGTAGCTTTATATTTAGTGGCACCAAAAGATACCCAGGATACGTTAAGTAAAAGATTAAACTGCAGAACAGTATGCTCCTTTGTCTTCAAGTGCACAGAAAAACATCGGAAAGGAAGCATCTAAACTTTCATGAGCTTCTCTGAGCACAGGGTCAGGGGGAAAACCGCTGCTCTTTATTTCCTGGCGAGGTCATACACCTGCGTGAGGGAAGAATTCAGAACGAGACCGAAAGACATCCCGTGAAAAATAAATCCGGCCCCTCCCTGCTCCCCCAGACTCCTCTGGGGAGACAGGAAATCTCATTTTCACTTCATACATGTCCATAATGTTAGTTCTATTTACTTTTAACAAAGAATATTACTTAAAAAAAAAAAAGTTCAATCGAGTGAGAAAAGTAAAAAGAATATTCACTGTACAAAATATGCAAATTATACAAAAGTTTAAAAAGAAAATAAGCCCTGACCAATGTGGCTCAGTTGGAGCATCATCCCTTACACCAAAGGTGGCGGGTTCAATTCCTGGTCAGGGCCCATACCCAGGTTGCGAGTACGAGCACATGGTGCCATGTGGGAGGCAGCCCATCGATGTCTCTCTCTCTCTCACTCTCTTACACAACAGAATTGTTCGTGGCTGTTTAGGAACCCATCATAAAAAATATTTATTTAACCAATCTTTTATCATCAAACATGTAGGTTGTTTTCCAGCTCAGAAAAATATTTTGCAGATGAAGGAAAGAATAGTCTGTTGGGGTAAGCCAAGTCCAGGACAACAGAAACAAGTCCCTGCAGCCGTCTCATTCTCTTCCTGACCCCATCCCACGGGGTCTCTGCCCAGGCCTTCCAGACCTTCCTTGGAACGGCGCCGGGCCCACAGCCAACTGGCCTCTACCTCAGATGTTTCCCCACCGGAGGGCAGAGGTTCTGGTAGGTCTTTCCGGCCTTGGGGCCTTTTTCCAGCACAAAATACAACCTGATGCAGAGGCAGTTCCATGCCTACCCCCCATCCATAGCCTTCCCACTCCCCAAATTCATGGTCCTCAGGGCTCCGGTGGCCCAGAGATGGGTGCAACATTCTCATACTGCGGCTCCTCCTGCCCTTCCTCGTCAGCCAGCTTCTGGGGATCCTGTACCGGGGGGCCCCCGGGAGCCAGCTCCTGGAGCCTCCCTGAGCTCTTGATGCCATCCCTCTGCCCACTGGCCGCTTCCTCTGGCCCGGTTCCTGCGGGCTGCAAGGCCCCCGCGGGCTCCTCGTTCGGGGCTGGGCCAGAGCTCTGACTGGCAGAGCCAGGGGCCAGCCCGGATCTGCCCTTGTTCCGACTCAGTGCCCGACGTGGAGGCTTGGGGATGGCACTCTTCACCTTGGGCCCTGCCTGGCCTTTCTGGAAGCTACCAAAACGGCGGAAGACAGACCGGACCGGGCCCTCGGGTTCCCGGGGTGACCCTGCCAAAGTGTAGATTGTGGTGACGGAGCCCGCGCTCTCCTGGACGCCGCTTTCGATGGCTTCCACGCGCTCGGCCACCGTCCGGCCACTGAGTGGGGGCCGGCGGGGGCCGGGGGCTGAATCCTTGGGGCTGGGCGCCCCGGGAGGGACCTCGTCCCTTTCCGTTTTGTCGGGGCCTGTGGACTCCTCAGCCTCCTGGCTTTCAGGACCGGGCTGGCCGCCCCGGGAGAGCCGCTTGAGCTTCCGGAGCGGGTTGGAGAGCTCCCCGGAGCTTTGGCGATTCTGCGGGGCGAACTTGGTGCCTTCGGCAAAGGAGACGGAGGGCCGCTTGGCCCGTGCTAGGCTGGAAGTGCGCGGGATGGCGAATGGCGTGGAGGCATCCTCGGGGGGTGGGAAGGGACCATCAACCACGCTGGCCTCCGGTGACTCTGCTTGGGCCTCAGGGACCATCCCTGGCGGAGGAGACAGAGGAGTTAGGCCAAAGCTGGGCTGGCCACCCCAACCCACGCACTCCCAGCTCAGCATCTCCCGGGAGGCCACGATCACGGGGCAAAGTGGAGGGTGAGGATGCAGAGGCAGGAACAGCAGTGTCAACAGACACCACCACTTCTCCCTTCTCTTCCCGCCTCCCACCCTTCTTTGACTTACCGTCACACTCCGTCCATCCAAGCTAAAACCTTCAGTGCCATGCCTCTCTCCTCTCTCCTCTCTGGACCCGTGTACACGGCCCCCTTTTCCCCAAACACCATCCCCACCTCCCCCTAACTTTCTCACGGCTAACCCGCGGTTCTGCTAGACTCAACGCCAATGTCACCGACACTGAGACATCTCCCCTGACCCCAGTCTCCTCTGACATGGCTGGATGACAGCCTCTCTTGCGTGCCTCCCCCCTCCCCCCCGTGCAAGCACATCACACTCCATCCTAGAAGGGTCTGGTCACTGCCCACCAGACGAAAAGCTGAGTAAGGACGGGAATCTAGCTTGTCTCCATTATGAACCCCAGCAGAAGACGGAACACTTTATAGGACATAGGGGATGGTTGTATGGGTAAGACCAAGGGATCAGAAGGATGCCCAGACACCCAAGCGGTATTTAAAGTGGCCCCAGTGGGTGACTGGCGGGAGGGGGGGAGGGGAAGGCGGGGGGCACTACCTTCTTTGGGCGGCACGCAGTAGGCAGGGTCCTCGTCCTCGTCTTCGCAGTCGTAGTCGGAAGAGAAGGAGTCGTCGGAGGCCCAGCCGGCGGAGGGCTGCTCGATGAAGCTGTGGTTGAAGGGAACCTCCGGGTCGTGGTGGGAGACTGCAGGGGGGGCGCCCGGTCAGCACACAGCCCGGTGGGAAGCTGGGTCCCGCTCCAGCCCCGCCCTCAGCGCCCACCTACCTGTCACCCAGGGCAGCTTGTGGCTGCTGAGGGACCTGCAGGGCAGCGCGAAGTCCAGGCTGGTCAGCGCCTCCCACAAGCCCTGGAGCTTCCTCCTGGACACAGCGGCTCCCTCCCTCGCTGGGCTGAGGGCACAGGAGGCGGTCAGTGTGTGAGACCCGCCTCGGGGCGGGGTGGGAGCTGGGGAGGAAGGCCGGGCCCACCCAGGCTCTGGGGTTAGAGGGCGTGAGGAAGGGCGACAGAGGGGCTGTGTCCACTTCAGTGGCTCCCTACGGCCACCGAGTCAAGTCCAAACGACTGAGCCCAAGATGTGGGCCTGCCCCAGCGGGCAGCGTGGCTCCAGAGTCCAACAGACCTGGGGCAGCAACTCTGCTCAAACTTTACAATGCTCTGGGCCTCCGTTACCTTACCTGTCAAATGGGGACAGCTACAATCTGTCAGAGCTTTTTTTCAGGACCCCCTACAGCCCCGGCGCCAGGTGGGGTTCCCCAAAAGGCAGCCATGTGCTGTCACCCTCCTAGCTGAGTCCCAGCTCACCCGGCTTTCTGGAAGTGACACCGCCTCCAGGAAGCCTGCCGCTGGCCCCAACCCCATGCTGGAAGTGACCGCTCCATTCCTACCATTCCTCTGACAGCCCTGGCACATGCCCTGGTCCTCCTGGGAGGGGCTTCTTCCCCGTCCCCCCCCCCCCGGGCTCTGTGCCCCAGGGGACAGGCCACTGGGCCTGCTCAGTGAGTGCCCCCAGCACACGCAGGATGACATGCTCGAGGATTAGCGTGCGAACCGTAAGAGAGCACTGGACAGAGCTTTGTGTGAGCCAGTGACGAACCGAGACACCTTATCGGTGCCCTCTGTGCTGGGCTCCTCCTCCTGCCCCCACATCCCCTGCTCCAGACCTCCATGATGCAGTGAGTCCAAGGAGCAGAGAAACGGGAAGAGATTTTTAAAGGAACAAAGCTGGTGAGGAGCGGCGGTCTGCAGTGGCCGCCACACAAAACCTTCCTCTTCCTTTCTGGGAAAGCCCCATTTTCCGCCAAACCACTGCCTAGACTCTCATGTCACCCTCCTTTCTGAGGGGGAGGGGGTGGAGGGTGTGAGGCCTGGTCTCTTCTGCTCCCAGCCCAAAGCTGCCTGCTGCTTTCCCGGTCCCCCTCCTCCTCTGGCCCCTGTCGGCATACCCTCAGCCTCCCGCTGTGGGTGTGAGCTTCCCCAGCCTGCTGCCCCTGCACACGGGACTCCCCCTAAAGGCTTCTGATGCAGGCAAGCAGCTGACCTCATGTCTCCGGGCCACTACCAACGACCCCATCCATGCTGACCTACGTGTGTGACCCGGTCAGCCCTTCCCCACCCCCGAAAGGAAGCCAGTGTTCACCTGTCCTTGGGGTCCAACCGGGCGGCCCAACAGCACCAGGCACAGCAGCAGGCAATGCCCAGGAGGAGCAGCAGCAGAGGCACAAGGATGCCAGCGATGAGGGTGGCATCCTGACTGTGAGAGCCTGGGGCTGGGGGGAAGGGGGAAGGGTGAGCAGTAGTCAAATATTCAGGGCCTTCTCATCTCCCACACATGTCACACCTCTAGCTGGGGTGCCCCCTCCCCAGTCTTCCTCCTGCGGGTGTCTCTTCTGAGAGACGCAGAGTCTGCTCAGCCTGGGGGCCGCCTGCTGGCCTGTCCCCTTCGGATGGTCCGCGGTCCGCCCCACAAGCCTTGGCCCTCGTTTTCATGCCTGATGCCCTGCCCACCCGTTTCCTGGGTGCTAGCCTGGTTTCTCAGGGAACAGGGACGCTGTCACCTCTATGGGGACCCCAGAGCGTCCGCACAGATTTCAGGCGCTCCCTTGCCAGTGATGCGCTTCTGGAGCCCATGGAGGGGGCCAGTCTTTCCCGGGTGTACCCTGCACCCTGCTTTCCTCCTTACCCAGCTGGCAGGCCCCGGAGACAGGGTGGCAGGGGCCCTCTGGGCATTCACAGGGAGCAGAGCAGTTGTTTCCATGGAAGCCAGATGGGCACGAGACGTTGCAGCTGTGGGTGACAAGGAGCGGCAGGCTGAAGGCTGGGTGAGAAGGGGCAGAGGTGGGCGAGGGGTAGAGGAAGGGAGGTTTCTGGGCCCTGGACCCCAGCCCTGCCAGCAGACTTCCCTGGATGATGCCTGGGCAGGCTTCTCCTGCCTCAGAGCCACATGCTCAGTGCCACTGGCAGCCCTGGAGAGAACCCCTCAGCCCCTCAGCCCATCCCCCATGGAAACTACCCCCAAGCTGTCCTTTGCCCCCAGCCCTCCCTCGGGCAGAGTCCACTTCTCAGGAGCCTCAGCCCTTACCCTCCCGGCACTCATACAAACTAAGCAAGATGCCAACAGCATCAGACATCCTCGGGGGCTGGCAGCCAGCCAGGTCCAGCCCTGCCCCTAACTCTCTGGGCCTTGGATCTCTCCTCTCTGAAATAAGGTCTTTTCCATGTTCTGGATTCTGTCCCAGAGGCGGTAGATCTGACGCTGGAGACACTGACGTGGACTAGGCTTTCCTACCTGAAGACCGCAGGCCAGCGGTCGGCAAACCCATTCGTCCACAGAGCCGAATATCAACAGGACAACAATGGAAATTTCTTCTGAGAGCCACATTTTTTAAGCTTAAACTTCTAACGCCACTTCTTCAACATAGACTCGCCCAGCCCGTGGTATTTTGTGGAATAGCCACCCTGACGGGGCCAAAGAGCCGCATGTGGCTCTCGAGCCGCAGTTTGCCGACCACGGCCTTAGGGAAACAACAGTGGGGTTTGGAGCCCTTCCACTGGACAGCTTCCCGCTCTGGGTAGGCAGCCAGGCCTTTCCCATAAGCTTCACTCTGAGCCCCGTTGGAAGATGCAGACCCCACAGCAGGCAGAACGGCTCCTCCGCTCTGAGGGTGCTGGGTGGGACAGGGAAGATGGAGACGCCCGGAAGGGAAGCCAAGGAAACAGCTTGCACGGAGGCCGGACCCAGGCCTCTCTGTCCTCACCTGGGTCCCCAGTAGCCAGCGCTGCAGACACATTCCCCAGTCACAGCGTCACAAGCCCCCTGAGCACAGGCGGGGCAGGTGGAGCCACAGCCCTCCCCAAAGGTGCCACGTGGGCAGGGGTCTTCACACCTGAGGTGAGGCAAGACTTGAAATGGGGGGCGGGGCAGGCCCGGCCCCCCAAGGGGGCTCTCCCCATCGTCCCCCATGCTTCTAGACTCAGGGACCCAACCGTGGGTCCTCGGCAGGAAGCTCAGGTACAAACAGGGCCCTGAAGCTGGGCCAGACCCAACAGGTGACCGAGCAGAGGTCCCTGGAGGGAGAAGAGGGCAGGAAGCCTGAGGGGCAGGGAGCTGGAAGAGAGCCCTGCCCAGGCCTCACCCGCACCCATCTCTATCCCGTCAGGCTTCGCCAGGGGGCAGGCCCCGGGGGAGCTGAGTGAATGTGTGTTTGGAGAGGGGACGCTTGTCCCCGAGGGAGCAGCTGGGATGAGAATTTGGAAGGAAGGTCTCCTCTACCCCGAGCAGGCTGGCCCCTTACCTGGGCCCCAGCCAGCCGGGGTCACAGCTCTGACAGTGCCCAGTGTCTGGCTGGCAGACCTCCCCGTGCCGGCAGCGGGGGCACTGCTGTCCGCAGCTCTCCCCGAAGGTACCAGGCGGGCAGGGCTGGAGGCACTGGGTCCCATTCCAGCCCGGCTCGCAGGACTTGCAGCTGCCCGTGTCTGCAGCGCACGGCTCGTTCTGCGCGCAGTGGCCACAGCTGTGGGAAGAGACGTTCATGGGAAGCTCCTGTGGCAAAGGGAAGGAGTGCCGTCCAGGCCTCCAGGGCCCTGGAGGGAGAGCACCCGGACCCAGCTAATGCACTCAGGCAGGTCTGCGCCTCCGCTTCCCCAAGTTGTTCTCTGAAGACGCTGGATAAATGATCTCTGTAAACTCTGGTAGGATCCCAGCCCCCTCCGTCTAACCCCCAACTCCAGCACTCATCCCTCTCTGGGTCCCGGGTCACCAGTCAGAACAGCCAAGTTATTACCCCAACCTCTGCCTCCCTTCTGCCCAGCGTCTCCCCACCCTTCCACCCAACCTCAGGGATGGACCTCAGCAGTTTATCTCCTATCCCATAACATGAAAATGAATAAAAATAAAAGCGTTTTAGCCTGGCCTGCAGTGCAGCTCAGTGGTTGAGCATTAACCTATGAACCAGGAGGTCAGGGTTTGATTCCTGATCAGGTTGTGGGCTCGATCCCCAGTGTGGGGCGTGCAGGAGGCAGCTGATCAATGATTCTCTCTCATCATTGATGTTTCTATCTGTATCTCCCTCTCCCTTCCTCTCTGAAATCAATAAAAATATTTTTTTAATTGGTTACCTCCCAACACACTGCAACTGAGGTTGCAACTGAGGTATGGTGCCCTTGACCAGAATCGAACCCACGACCCTTCAGTCCTTCAGTCCGAGGGCCGATGCTCTATCCATTGAGCAAATCAGCTATGGCAGGTTTATATTATCTTAATTTCTCATTGATCTGTAATAGTTACTTGAAGTTTCTCCCTCAGATACTTATCTGGGATCATATACTTTGGTTAGACTCATTTAGTGAGGGGAGAGGGGAGTTCATAAAATCAATATAGCAAATCCCAACCAGCAGAAAGAAAAAGAAAAAAGAGAATAAAAATTTTAAAAATTACAGTATATACATATTATATATTCACATATTGTATATTATGTTATATATATAGTAAAGATAAATATGTTGTCTGGTTAAGATTTTACTTCATATATATATATATATATATATACACACATACACATACACATATATATGGGTGTGTGTGTTATGTGGGATGTAAAATGTGTTATTGTGGGTGGAGTTGGTCAAAGTTTAAAAGTTATTGAGTCAAAGAGACCATGCGATCATTTTGTCACGTGATTCATTCTTTATCTGTTTCTAAGTGTGGCTGTTATACTAGTATTGTTGTTAACAGTAACCGGATGAAAGGGGTGTGGGAGCTGGACTCTGGGGCATTGAGGATCTTTTATCCCCCCTTTCATCCCATCCTTGTAGATTAAAAAAAACAAAACACATCTTGCCCTAGCTGGTTTGGCTCAGCGGATAGATTGTCAGCCTGTGGACTGAAGGGTCCAGGTTTGATTCTGTCAAGGGCACATGCCCAGGTTGCGGCTTGATCCCCAGTAGGGGGCGTGCAGGAGGCAGCCGATGGATGATTCTCTCTCATCCTTGATGAATGTTCCTATCTCTCTCTCTCTCTCTCTCTCTGTCTCTCTCTGTCTCTCTCTCTCTCTCTCTCTCTCTCTCTCTCTCTCTCTCTCTCTCTCTCTCTCGGAGAATCATCCACCGGCTGCCTCCTTCAAGCCCCTCCCTGGAGATGGAGGCAACCCCGATGTGTGAACCGCGGCCTCCTGGTTCACAGGTCGAAGCTCAGTCGCTGGCCGCGCCCCCAGGCCCACCCTAGATTTTTATGGAAGCACCGCACCTTCCCTCCACCTCTTTCACCTCCCCCCCCTCCCTCCCACGGCGCAGGCGCCCCGCCCGCCCGCCCCGCTCACCTGCGGCCGCACTGCGCCCCCCAGCGGCCGGCGGGGCAGGGCAGCCGGCACTCGGGGCCCCACCAGCCCGGCCGGCAGGCGCAGCGGCCGGACTCCTGGGCGCAGGGGGAGCCGTGGCAGTGGCAGCGGAAGCTGCAGCGGCGGCCCCACCAGCCCGCCTGGCACACGCAGTTGCCCGTGGCCTGGTCGCAGCGGGCGGCCACGGGGTTGCACTGGCACCGGTGCTGGCACCGGGCGGACCACCAGCCCGCCTCGCAGCGGCACGCGCCGGTCTCCGGGTCGCAGCGCCCGTGGGGGCCGCACGCGCACTCGAACTCGCAGCGGCCGCCCCAGCGGTCGGCCTGGCAGCGGCACACGCCGGTGTCCGGCGCGCACTGCCCGTGCGGGTGGCAGGCGCAGCTCTCGCGGCAGTCGGGGCCCCAGTACTGGCCCGGGCAGCCTGGGGGCGGGGAGAGACAGAGGAAGGTCAGCGGGCTGAGGCCGAGGACAAACGCAGGCTTTGGACCCCCTCCCGGAACAAAGGGAGCTGGGCCCGTCCTCCAAGAGCCGGGAACAGGCCCTTGGAACATGTGGCATCATATCCTCCTGGGGCAAAGCTCACTTCCTGCCCCAGACTCTGAACACAAAACTCCTCAGCAGTTCCCAGCCTCCCAGGTCACACTCCAGAACACACTAAAAATCCTGAGGGGGCCAAAACCGGTTTGGCTCAGCGGTAGAGCGTCAGTCTGTGGACTGAAAGGTCCCAGGTTCGATTCCAGTCAAGGGCATGTACATTGGTTGCGGGCACATCCCCGGTAGGGGGTGTGCAAGAGGCAGCTGGTGGATGTTTCTCTCTCATCGACGTTTCTAGCTCTCTATCTCTCTCCCTTCCTCTCTGTAAGAAATCAATAAAATATATTTTTTTTTAAAAAGAAGAAACACAAAAACTCTTGCCACATCTATAAAAAAAAAATCAATAAAGTATATTTAAAAATGAAAAAATAAAAATCCTGAGAGGGAAAGGGGCTATGCCCGGAGCACACAGAAGTGTGTGTGTGCCGAAACAGGTTTGGCTCAGAGCGTCGGCCTTTGAACTGAAAGATCCCAGGTTCGATTCCGGTCAAGGGCAGGTACCTTGGTTGCGGGCACATCCCAGTTGGGGGGCATGCAAGAGGCAGCTGATAGATGTTTCTCTCTCATGGATGTTTCTAACTCTCTATTCCTCTCTCTTCCTCTCTGTAAAAAATCAATAAAAATATATTTTAAAAAATAAAAAAGAAGTGTGTGTGTGTGTGTGTGTGTGTGTGTGTGTGTGTGGCAGGGGTGGGGGTGTTGAGGCTTCATCCATGCCCCTCCTCCCTCTCACTGGGCTCCTCCTCTGGGCTGACAGCAGGCCTGGGTGCTGCCAACAGGGGCAGGAGAAGCCCATTTCCTCCATGGCTCCTCTCTACCATGATTCCTGATTCCTGGTGGCTGCCCCTGCTGTCCGGTCCCACGCCCTTCTCTTCTGCCAGAGAGGACAGCCAGCCTGGCCAGGACCCTCCTTCCGCCCCCCATGCATGCACAGGGAGATGCGGGGGAGTCTGGGAATGCACCCACTTTGCAGTTTACAGGAACCACCCGCATCCTTTCCGAGTTGAAGGGTGAAGGGCCCAGACTGAAAGTGTGAGGAGGGCTCTGTGGATATGGGCAAACCCCAGATGACTCAGGGCATCTCCCAGGAGTGTCACTTCCTGTCCCTGGGCCTCGGTTTCCTCCGTGAAGACTGGAGAGGCTCTGGCCCGCTGTTCTAAGATGTCGGTCCTCCCTGCATCGCCCACCTAGTTCTGCCCAGCAATGTCAGCCCCGCACACACACCCCCGGCGTGACTTGGGACTCACGGGAGTTGCACTGGGCCCCGAAGAATCCAGGTTTGCAGCGACAGAGGCCTGGCTTCACACATACTTCGTCCTCCCTGCAGGCATCGGGCCCCTCGCAGACGGCTGAAACACACCCGCCTCCGTCAGGGGCTTGACCAGGGGACACTCAGCCCCCTCACTGACTCCCAGTTCCCTGCCCCTCAAGAGTAAGGTGACCAGACATCCTGCTTTTGGCGGGACAGTCCCGATTCTTTACAAATTGTCCCGCGTCCCGCGGCGTTTTAAAAAAGTCCCGATTTTTGGAAAGAATCTTTCCAAAAGCGGGACGTCTGGTCACCTTATCCAGAGCTGTTCCCTCCGGGCTGGGCGTGTGTGCCACAGGATGGACCCTGGCTCCAGGGCTCAGGACGGAAAATCAGCCCCCCTAGAAGGGGAGGAAGGTCGCTGAGCTGTGTCCTCCCTTCTCCTGGGGTGGGGATTGGTCTTGGCCACTCACCAATGGTGCATTCTTGGTCCTTCTGCCTCCAGCCTGGGCAGCACCGGAGCTCAGCTGAGGGGCTGTGGGGCGGAGAGGAGTCAGCCGGAGGGGGGCTAGGAAGGTTGGTGTCCTGGGTTCAAAGGTGGGGCACTGCCTCTGGCTGAGGTGTGGGAGGCTGCCTCAGCCCCATCAGGCAGGCCTGGCCAAGAGTCACAGCCCACTCTCCCAACCCCTTCCCTCTCCTTCTCTGGCCTTCCCACCATCTGTCCTGACTATCACCACCCTCCAGGCCGTCCCCAAGCCTCCCTCCCTACAGCCCCATGATCTCTTCCCTCTTTCCCCGCCCCGTCCTCAGCACCAGCTCAGCTCCTCCCCCCGCGCCCCCCCCAGACTCCCACAAGAGCCACCTGCTGTCCTTGCACACATGCTGCCCGTTAGGGTCCAGCGCAGACCCCCGGGTCCTCGGAGTCCAGAGCAGCAGCAGGGGGAGCAGCAGCCTCAGGCCCATGGCGGCCAGTGCAGTGAGAGGGTTGGAGCTGGCCTGGCCCCCACAGCTCCCAACCCCCTCCGTTTCCTCCCAAGGCCTTTCCTGAGGAAGCCAGGCCCAGGGGGCGGCGGGGGGGCGGGCTGCCCTGAGGCACCTCCCTGGGGCTGGGCAGGCACAATCACTAGTGCTGAGTGGGCCTGAAGGGGCTGGTTTCCGTCTGGAGGGGGCAGGAAGACTGGAAGTCCCGGGGCATTGGGAACAGGTGCGGGGGTGGGGTTAGGGAGGAGCCATCGTTTTCCATTAGGTCATACTTCCCAGCGAGAGGAGCCTCCCCACCCAGTGACCACCAAGGAAACCCTGTGAGACCACCTCAGCCTGCCCGCACCCCTGGCCCAGCAGGGCGGGAAGGGGGGCCGACCACGGACAGACAGACGCGGAACAGTGTGTGGATATTATGGCAGTTCCTTTATTACATTAGCTGAGGCCATCTGTGCCAGTCTCTGGGAGGTAGGTAGTCAGCTCTCCATTGGGGAAACTGAAACTCAGAGAGGAAGCACTTGTATCTGACCCCAGAGGCTTAGCTCAGAGATACTGGGAAGGAAGGTAAGCTGAACTCCCAGTCCTGCCCTGGCTCAGGCCAAGACTGGGAAAGAGCCGGGAGGGCTGGGCAGGAGGGAGTCCTGTTCCCATCTGAGGTCACATCCACCCGCAGTCAGACTCCACGGTCAGGCGCCGGGGGCACCTGAGACCCCGGACAAAGGTGTTCGTTGAGAGCAAACCAGGGCCGGCCGGTCAGGGGCTGCCCACGGGCTCCACGTGGGGTTGCTGTGGGGCCTCCTCTTCGCCCCCTGGCTCGCTGGGAGCTGTGCTGCTGGTCTGAGCTTCATGGGCCTCTGTTCCGCCCCGATAACACAGGCCAAAGCTGGGGGGAGAACCCAGAGGTGCTTTGAGCCTGGGTGTCGGAGAGAAGCAGGAAGGGAGGGGCGTGCTCAGGGCTCAGGACGGCAGAGTGGGCATCAGGGAAGTAGGAAAGGGGATGCTGAAAAGAACCCAGGGGGGCCTCTTCCTCTCCCCCCAACATACAAACTCTGTATTCTGGACTCAGGGGGTGGGGGGTGGTCGTCCTTATCGCTGGAGAGCAGGAGCCAGGAGCCATCCTCATCGTCACTGAGGCAGAGAGGAGAGGAAGGAGAGGGTCATTGATCAAGGCCAGGAGGGCCAATGGGAACGCAGCTATGGTTAGCCTTCTGCGTGGCCCCAGGGACAAGCAGGGGAAAACAAAGTGACTACAGGGTCCCCCAAGCTGGAGGAGACACTGGGGAGATGAAGGACATCTTGAGACATTTATTTTACAGGCTGATGGACAGCAGACCTCTGACAAGGCTGCAGCTATAGTCTTTATTATTTATTTTACTTACCAGATTACCTACTTATTATAAAAGATTATAGCTCAGTAATAACCAGATAGAAGAAGCATCCTTCCACCCTGCTGTCCTGAGCTCTAAATGCACCCTAAGTTTTATTTTATTTTATTTTATTTTTAAAAAATGTATTTTATTGATTTTTTTACAGAGAGGGATAGAGAATTAGAAACATTGATAAGAGAGAATCATCGATCAGCTGCCTCTTGCACACCCCCTACTAGGAATATGCCCGCAACCAATGTACATGCCCTTGACCAGAATTGAACCTGGGACCTTTCAGTCCGCAGACCGATGCTCTATCCACTGAGCCAAACCGGTTTCGGCAGCACCCTAAGTTTTAAAGGGCGAGGTATGGGGAAGGGGCACAGGGCTTCCACCCCCTCTGCAGGCCCGCCATGAGTCCTGCATCTCCATGTGGCCACTAGCCCAGGAGCTCTTTGAACCCAGGCCTTTTGGCTTTCTGTGAAGGTCTCTTCAGCTACAGTCTCACTCCTCTGAGGTACAGCCAGGACGAGGAACTGAAGAACGAATGTGGAAAAACAGCATTAGCAGGATTCTTCAGCAGGAGGCGCAGCAAGCGTGGCAGGTGGGAGCAGTGTGATCCAGAGAGAACAGTGGCAGGCTCAGGAATGCAGGCTCAGGGGGTGACCAGGCCAGATCAGCAGGCCCAAGGGTTGACCAAAGCAGAATGGCATGTTCAGCGGGGCAGTCCAGTTAGTAGGCTCAAGCCTGAGTAGCAGACTCTGCCGGGCAGGCTGGGTCAGCAAGCTCAAGAGGGTGACCAGATGGGTCAGCAGACTTAGGAGGTGGCTAGGCAGGCTCAGGAGTGACCAAGACCAGACTAGGTCAGACTGGCAGGCCCGAGGAGTGACCAAGGCAGAATGGCAGGCTCAGCAGGGCAGGCTGGACAGCAGGCTCCAGGGGTGACCAGGCCAGGTTAGCAGGTTCAAGAGTGACTAGACTAGCCTGGCCGGATGTGGCTCAGTCGTTGAGTGTCGACCTATGAACCAGGAGGTCATGGTCAGGGAACATGCCTGGGTTGTGGGCTCATTCCCCAGTGAGGGACGTGCAGAAGGCAGCCGATCGGTGATTCTGTCTCATCACTGATGTTTCTCTCTCTCCCTCTCCATTCCTCTCTGAAATCACTAAAAATATATTATTTAAAAAAAAAAAAAAAAGAGTGACTAGACTAGTGTTAGGTTCAAAGGGGTGACAAGGCTGAGAAAATAGGTTCAGTCTGAGAAAAAAGGATCAAAAGATGATCAGGCTGGGTCAGCAAGCTAACTACGGTGACCACCATAGGTCAACAGACTTCGGAGGTGGCTGGGCTGGGGTAGAGCATGGCCAGGCTGGGTCATCAGCCTCAACGGAACGAGGGAGGGCGGGCTGGCTCAGTGAGAACAAAGGCAGGGACTCGCCTGCTCTCCGCTTCCTCCGGGGTCCCTAGCATCTTCGCCTTGATCTTCTTCCGCTGCTTCCTGACAGCCACCTTCATGGCTTCCAGGAGAAGCCCCGGGACCCTGTGGTCTGCGAGCAGCTCCCTGCAGAGGAGGAGAAAGGGCAGGGGAAAAGTGAGGGGGATACCATAAGTCAGCCTCACACCAAAGTACCCTTTTTTTTTTTTTTTAAATATATTTTATTGATTTTGTACAGAGAGGAAGGGAGAGAGATAGAGAGTTAGAAACATCGATGAGAGAGAGTCATCGATCAGTTGCCTCTCGCACACCCCCTACTGGGGATATGCCCGCAACCAAGGTACATGCCCTTGACCGGAATCGAACCCGGGACCCTTCAGTCCCCAAGCTGACCGCTCTATCCATTGAGCCAAACCGGTTTCGGCCAAAGTACCCTTTTTTAAGACACTTTGCCTAAAACCCCTCAAACGTTAGCTGAAGTGTCACACCGCCTAGGAATCCTTCTCTGACGGCCGCTGTGGCTGCTGTGACCCTTTGCATCGCCCTCCCCTCCCCTCGTTTGGCTGGAGTTCCAGGAAGGCAGGGGCTGTGTGACTCACGTCCTCCCTGTGCCCAGCTCAGTGCCTGGCATATGTCACTGCTTTCACACCAGTGAGCCAAAGAACGAGGCAGGTGACCCGAGGCCCAGGAGCAGGTGTGGCTGTAGCCCCTCAGCTGCCCAGCTCCTGCCCGGCTCCTGCCCGGCGCCCTCACCGCTGGAAGTAGGCCAGCTCCTCCTTCAGCAGGAACACGTTGGTTTTGAGCTCATTCCGCTCCTGAAGGATCTGCTTAAGCTCCTCTCGACTGAAGCCGCTCTCCTCTGCGTTGGAGGGACACTGTGCCTGCGTCAGGGAGGCTTGGTCAGAAGGGTGCCCCTCTGCTCCTGGGTCATCACGGTAATTCTAGAGGGCATGCCTGGCAGGGAGACTGGGGAGACAAGGGGCCACCACAACAGATGACAGACCAGTGCTCTGGATGAGGGTGGGACAGAGGCCGCATACTTGTGTGCCACCTGCCAACTTCCCATTGGACCTGCTGCGCAGCACAGCACACTTCCCAGCGCCCACCCTTGTGAGGGAGAATTGGGGAGGGTCCCTGACCTCAGCGGGCACTCACGGGGTCCTCCGAGGTCCCCGGGCCTCCTGGTCCTGCGGTCGCCCGCTCGGGCTCCTGCCTCTGTGCGCACCCAGGACTCCCGGCCGGGTTCTGTGCCTGCTCCTGAGCCAGCTCCACCATCCCTTCCCGCTCGCTCTCGCGGTCCCGTGCGGCTCGCAGCTGGGCTTGCACCGCGGCCAGCTTGTGCCGCAACTCTGCATTCACCAGCAGGAGGCGCTGCAGCTGCTCCTGCAACTGGGGGCGGAGCATGCGGTAGGGCCGGTGGGCGGGCGCCGAGGGAGCTCCGCCCGCCCCGCCCCGCAGCCTCTCCCGCCCTCACCGCCTCGGTCTCCTGGCTGCGCTGCTGCAGGTCCCGGCTGTGCGCCCGGAGTTCGTCCCGCTGCCGGTCGGTCACTTCCTTGAGCTGCCGCAGCAGAGCGCGCTCCTCTGGGGGAGGGTCGTGCTCAGCGGCGGCCCGGGAGGGGGTCTCTGGCCGCCCGCCCCCGCCCTGGCCCGCACTCACCCTGCGGCCCGCGGCGCAGCTCTCGGCGGAGGTGCTCGTTCTCCTCCCGCAGCCGCCGCAGCTCCAGCTCGGCCTGCTGCGCCGACACCTGCAGCTGCGAGCCCGGGCTTTCAGGCTCCGGCCCCCGGCGACCCCGCGGGCGGCAGAGGGAGGGGCAGTGACTCACCGAGTCGGGGGCGGGCCCCACGGCGGCCTTTTCCAGGAGCTCCAGCGCGCGCACCACCAGCGGCACGAGTCCCGCCGCCGCCTCGGGCCCGAAGCGGCGCGCCAGCTCCTGCAGCTCGGTGCCCAGGGCCCCCGCTAGATGGTACACGAGCTCTGCGGCCGTCTCAGCCCCCGCGGCCACTCGAGGCCTCCAGCCAGGCTCCCCAGGCGCCGCCCTCCTGGGCTCCATGTCCCCCGAAGGCCAAGGGCTGCGACAGTCACCGCCCCCACCCCTAACTGGGGCAGGAAAAAGCCAAACAGTTCCCGCCCAGGAAGCAGTTTAGGGCAGGAGAGGGTGGGGTAGAAGCGACTGGGGAGGAGGACTGAAGAAAACAGCCTGGGGGAAGGAGACCGCGTCCTGGCCCCCTGGGCCCTGTCCGGTTCAAGTCCCCAAGGTCACAGGAAGCAGGACAGCCAGCCTCCAGCCAGGCGTCCAAGAGCTGAGGCTCAGGGCTGTAAGTGGTCACTTTGTCAAGCCCTCCCCAGTGCCCAAGCCAGGCTCCACCCCTGTACTGGAGTCATGGGCCCCACTGGGCTGCCAACCACACAGGGCAAGAGGTGAGGAGTCACTGGCCTTTGCCAGAGAGCCAACTGTCCAGGCATGTGCCTGTGCCCTGACCAGGAGTGACATAAAGCTTAAAGGGCCAGGCAGGCATCCTAACTGCAGAGAACAAGTCACAAGCTCCCAGGCTCAGGAAATGGCAACTGCTCTAAGGGATGATTTGCAAGTATTTTGGAGCAAGATTGGCAAATGTGGTCAAGGTGGTAGGTGTGTGAAAGCCCAACCCCCGTATCTGTTCCAGCGTCTACGGGATATTTAGCCCCACAACCCCTGAGGGGTCCTCCTTTCCCTTCAAGGCAGAGTCCAGCTACCTGCCAATTCTACACTCAGAACTGGAGCTCAGAGGGGAAAAAACTCAAACTCCAATTGATACAAAATTTATTATACTCCGGTCAGGATCACAGGAGTCAACAACACAACAACACGCACAAAATAGGGGGGGAAAGGGGCAAGCTGATGAATGTCACCAGCTGGCCTGCGGGGGAGGGAGTCTGAGCAGGAGGTGGGCACCCTAGGCGTAGAGGTCCTCTCGGTCGGCAGAGTAGACCTCCCCCTCCTGCAGAAGGGCGAAGTTGAGGAAGTGGGAAGGCCTGTGCACCTCGTGGTAGAACTCTTTGGGGTTTGCCAGCTGCAGCTCATACTTCATGTTGGGATCATGCCGTACACCTTGGAGTAGATAAAAATGTCCAAATTAACAAGGTCCACCTCTCACCCAGCTGGGCCCCTGGCCATCTCCAAACCAGAGTCAGGCCCCACGGGCTAAGGATGTTGACCACCCCTTCCCTGTGCTTCCCCTCTTACCCATAAAGTTGTAGTTCCAGGAGGACTGGGCAGGGACCATAAAGAAGCCGAGGAAGCGGTCCGACAGCAGCATCTGGACCCTCTCGTAGTGCGAAGGGAGGTAGCCCTTGGGGTTGTTGCCCTTGTCTGTGTTCTGGCGGCCCCATTCATAGCCACTGGGGGTCAGCTTGTAGGCTGTCAGTGTGCAGGAGCCTGGTGTGAAGCTGAAAGAGGGATGAGGATGAAGTCAGAGCTTAGACCACCGTTCTGGGTCCTGGCCTGCAATGCCGGCCCATTCTTCCTCTCCACGGGGGCTCAAGCCCACCTGCAGGTGATGATGATGGTTTTCTCGCCATCCCAAGATGGGTTGTCAGCCATGATCTTGGCGTGGGTGGTGACATCCTGGGGCGATAGCTGGGGGGACTCGTTGGGCTGAGTGTGGATCCATCCTAAGGGTTCCATCTCCTATAGGCAAAGAGCAGTAAAAGACGATTTAAAGCCCTATCTGCAGACAGGAATCCCACGTCTGCCTTCCCTCCCCTCCCCTGGCAGCAGAAAACCCCCATTAACCTTGAGATATTCATGCTGGGGCAGCTGGCTAGGCAGGTGCACGGTCTGGTGGGTACCCCACTGTGGTACCATCACGATGCAACGTATTTCCTTCACTTGGGGGTTATCTGGTGGGCTAACCCCATACAGGTATCCTGCAATCTGGAGACAAGGAGATCCAGAGTCAAAATGATTCTTAGTACCAGCCTAGACCAGGGCTATTAGCCCTGTTCCCTTCCCTTCCTTAAGAACAAGAGTTTCTCAAAATGTGGTCAGAACCTCTCATATCGGAATCACCTGAGACCCGGCTGGTGTGGCTCAGTGGTTGAGTGTCAACCTATGAACCAAGTCACGTTTGATTCCTGGTCAAGGCACATGCCCAAATTGTGGGCCCAATCCCAGTGGGGGCATGCAGGAGGCAGCCAATTGATTGATTATTCTATCATTGATGCTTCTATCTCTTTCTCTCCCTCTCCCTTCCTCTTTGAAATAAAAACGTGTGTGTTTGTTGTTAAAAAAAAGAATCACCTGCCAGGACCGGTTTGGCTCAGGGGATAGAGCGTCGGCCTGCGGACTGAAAGGTCCCGGGTTCGATTCCAGGCAAGGGCATGTACCTTGGTTGCGGGCATGTCCCCAGTGGGGGGGGTGCAAGAGGCAGCTGATCGATGATTCTCTCTCATCGATGTTTCTATCTCTCTATTTCTCTCTTCTTCTCTGTGAAAAATCAATAAAATATATTAAAAAGAAAAAATCACCTGGATGCTTGGTCACATTAAATATGGACCTTATCTCAAATGACCCCATCAGAATCTCCTGAGTGGCGCCAGGGATCTGCACTGCTCCCAGTTGACTTAAGTATAGTATCCATAAACAAATGAAAACTTCTTTAAAACCAACAATAGGTAGTATTTTAACTTCTACAAAGTTAAGAGGACCTGTGCTCTTATAAATCACCCACACAGGATATTAACAAACTTTTCAAACTCATCAAACAGGTCATAAATAGTGTTTCAGAACATATGAATTTCCCTGGTTACTAGTAAAATGAGCATTTTTTCATGTTTTAATTGCCATCTGTAGTTCCTTTTCTGAACTACACCTGTATTCTTTGCCCATTCTTCTAGTTATCTTTAAAAAATCAACTTCTGAGAATTCCCTATTCTAGATATTAATCCATTATATCTATGGTTCTGAAAATAATTTATGTTTTTAGGGTATCTGTTGTGGTACCCTTTGACAGACACACACATTATTCATTTTGATTGTGGTTTTGTGCTTTGTGTCTTATTTAGAGGGCTATCCCAAAACTAAGGTGATAAATGTTTTCTTTTAATGTTATACAGTTTATTTAGTATTTTACATTCCGATATTTATTCCACCTGGATTTTATATTTTTAAGTGGTGTGAGGTAGGAATCTAGACTCCTTTTTCTGATTGCTTCAATATCATAAGGCATCCTTAATCCTACAGACTTGATATCCCATATTATATGCACATGAATGTTTCTGTATAGATGCTATTCTCTTAATTGCCATAACTTTATAATGTTTTGTTATCTGGTGGGAGTCAAAACCCTCCGTACTGTTTTGGCTATCCTATGTAATAAAAGAGTAATATGCAAACTGTCCCCTCGACCAGGAGTTGGACTAGAGTTCGACCAGGGGTCAGGGCTGGCCCGCCAGCCGCCCTCAATCCCCCAGGCCAGATCAGCCCGATCTGTGTGGGGCAGGCCAGGCTGCACTCCACCCAGGCACAATTTCATGCACCAGGTCTCTTGTCCTTGTATACTTTTCCATGAATCTCAAAGCCTCAAGTTCCAGGAAACCTTAGGTGAGTTGTAGATACATAAAATGTTTAGCTAACACCGTGGCCCAGCTGAGCACACTTACTCACTTGAGCCCGAAGGTCAGATATGCAGATGAACTTCTTAAGCACATTCTTGGGAAGGATATAGGTGTAACCAGTCTCCTTGATGTCATCAGATGAAACATAGATGTGATTGGTCCTTAGGTGCAGGTTGGCAGCAGAGATGGCTCTAAAAATAGGTAGTAATGTCAGCATTTCTCAACCCAAGCACTGTAAGTAGCCCAGCAGGCCCTTCCATCACTACCCTGTCGGCCCCTTACAGTACCTGACCCTCCATTCCGTTTTTGATGAGAAAGTCTGGGTCTCATAGTTGCTGGTGGTGGAGGTGATGATCTCATCCCCGTGCTTGTTTACAGTACGAGTCTGTGTTGCAGTCAGCTGTGACTGTTCCTTGGTCTGCTTCTCAATCTCAGCTATCTGCTGACGCTGCTGTGACGGTGCTGAGATCTCCATACCCAGGATGATGTCTCGAATTTCTGACTGTGTCAGTGATGCCACATTCACACTGTGGGGACAGTGTGGGTCACAAAAGGATCCCTTCCCCTCGGTCACTTATGCCTCAATGGCAAGAATGTAACTTGGTGGTATATGGGAACCCATCTTATCTCAGACAACCCTCGAGTGACACTTGTAAAGGAAGTGTGAAGTGCAGATGTGTTAATACTAAGGTTTGCCACAGCCCAGGATGGCCCTTTGCAGGTGCACTTTTCAGCCAGGCTCAAACCTGCTCAGCATCCACACCTCCCATTTTTCCTTGATAAGAAGTGCCCTAGTGCAGGACAATTCTCAAAAACTGAAACCCTGAAACATGTTCTCAGAGCTGGTACTGTCAGTCAACCTAGGAGATGCTTGAAAATCTACAGACATCTTTGGTTCCCACAGTAACAGGGAAGGAGAAGGAAGGAAGGTATGTGTGTGCTGTTAGCAGTGGTACCTCAGGGCCTGGGATGTTAAAACTTCCTGTAATAATGGACAGTAAAGAAATGCCCTGCTCAAAATGTCAATAGTGCCTCCACTGAGAAACAATGCCCAAGAGTCAGAATGAAGCCCCCAAACACAGATGCTTCTTTCACTATCTAAAGACAATGTCTTCCTTTCTTCTATACGCAATTCCCAGGACAATTTCTTGAGAAACAACTGAGGCTAAATGTTTCAAAAAACCCTGAAACTGTCCTGGCCAGTTTTGCTCAGTGGATAGAGCATCGGCCTGCAGTCTGAAGGGACCTGGGTAGGACTGCAGTCAAAGGCACATATGCCCAGGCTGTGGACTCCATCCCCAGTAAGGGGACAGCCAATCAATGATTCCCTTTCATCATTGAAATTTTATCTCTCCCTCTCCCTTCATCTCTGAAATCAATAAAAATATTAAAACACACACACACACAAAAAAAGAAACCGTATGCTATATCACTTATTTCACTCTTTTTGTCTCT